TCTGCCTCCCTAAGTGTTGGGATATAGGTGTGAGCCACCATGCCTGGCCTATCTTCCTCTTCTTATAAGGGCATTCTAGTTACTTCCCAAAGTTTCCATCGCCAAATACCATCATAGTGGGGGTTAGGGCTTCAGCATATGAAGGGATGGCAGCGGAGGACAGTGGAGGGAGAACACAGACATTTGGTCCATAGAAGAAGAGTAGAAAATTTGTTTAAAGTTTGGGTGCTTTTAAAACATATCTCTTACAACTATATTTAGAGGGTAGAAGGAAACAAATCCAGGAAGATTACACAGCAAATGTGATACTTGAATGTGGAGCTGGAAGTATACCAGGGATTTCACCCAGGTGGACAAAGATAGGGAGAATATTCAAAGCAGAGAGAACAATTCATACCAAAAAATAAATAAAGGGGCCAGGCATGGTGGCTCATTCCTGTAATCCCAGCACTGTGGGAGGCTGAAGTGGGCAAATCACCTGAGGTCAGAAGTTTCAGACTAGTCTGGCCAACATGGTGAAACCCCATCTCTACTAAAAATACAAAAATCAGCTGGGTGCTGTGGCAGGGGCCAATAACCCTAGGTACTCTTCAGGAGGCTGAGGCATTAGAATCGTTTGAACCCAGGAAGTGGAGGTTGCAGTTAGCTGAGATTGCCTGGGCCACAGAGTGAGACTTTGTCTCAAAAAGAAGAAAACGAAAAGATGAAAGGGTAAGTGTGGTATCACATAGCACATCAACCCAAAATTCATTGGCATTCAACACTAAATAATTGATTTTCACTTATGCATCCTCATGTTGCCTGGAATTGGGCCAACATAGACTGAGTTTGGCAGGCTTGAATCTGAACTGCAGGTTGGATCCAGGAGTGTTTTATCCCCTTTGGACCAAGAGCTATCTAAGGCAGGCTCTTTCCATGATGGAGGCAGAAGAACAAGAAGGCAAGCACATTTCAAGCCTCTGGACACCCTGCGTCCACTAACATGACAGTGGCCAGCATAATTTACATGGACAAGTTCAACACTAATGGGTTGGAAAAGTATATTCCTCACTCACAAAAGCTTAAACTTTATTCCTGAACAATAAACTCTATCTCGGTGGGGTGGTGAGCACCTGTAGTTCCAGCTACTCAGGAGGCTGAGGCAGGAGGATTACTGGCACATAGGAGTCTGAGACCAGCTGGGCAACACAGTGAGACCACATCTCAGAAAAATAAATAAATAAAATAATAATAAAACCCAACTCTTTAAAGTGTGTTTGGGGACTAACATGAACATATATAACTTCTGTTTTTCATTTCCTTTCTATATGCATTTCCCTTGTTTATTTTTGTTTCTTTTTCTTTCTTCTTCTTTTTTTTTTTTTTTTTAGACAGGGTCTCACACTGTGGCCCAGGCTGGAGTACAATGGCGTGATCTTGGCTCACTGCAAACTCCACCTCTCAGTTGAAGCAATTCTACCTCCTCAGCTTCCCCAGTAGTTGGGGTTACAGGCGCCCACCACCATGCCCGGCTAATTTTTGTATTTTTAGTAGAGATGGGATTTCAAAATGTTGACCAGGCTGGTCTCGAATTCCTGACCTCAGGTGATCCACCCGCCCTGGCCTCCCAAAGTGCTGGGATTATAGGTAGGAGCCACTGCACCTGGCCCCCTTGTTTCTTTTATGAGATAAGCATATACATCTACAAAAGGAAATACAGGGGAGGCTCAGGAAAAAAGAAAGTCTTTTGTACTCACAGGTCCTAGAAACAGAAGGCATGGCAAGCCATGAAAGGCCACATGGTAGAGATACCAGAGTGGTCAGGCAGCAAAAGACACGAGGAGAAAGCCAAACTAGAGCCTTCACTGGGGCTTCAGTGGGAAAGACAGGACAGCGCAGGGTAAACAGTTTAGGATGAGCTCATTTGCATAACTTTGTTGGTCTTTGTTCTATAGGAGTGATCTCTAGTTGCCCAGTACCTGGCTCTGGGATGATTAAGGCAGAGGAATGTTGCTTCCTGGGCTGCATGGGCCAGATAGGGGAGGTCTGGCTTAGGATTGGTTTTTTTTCATATCAAAGGCATGTTCCTAGCTGGGTCCCTTACTATCACTAAGAATTGGCTGGCCCAGGGAGGAGCAGTCTCTCTCTAGCTAAAAAGGTTTTTCAAGATCAAAATACACAGGTAACTTAAAAATACATACAGTACGTCCCTTAAAAACAAGAGTAAACATTATTCAACCAACATCAGCCATGTGTGGCTACTGAGCACTTAAAATGTGACAGGTGTGATTGAGGAATTAAATTTTAGTTTTATTTAAATTTTGTTAATGTAAATTTAAAGAGCACATGTGGCTTATAGCTATGAAACATGCAGCTGTGAGCACTATAGTTAAAACTGACATTTTGGTCTGTGGATTCCTTTTATTTAATCAGTTCTGAAACTAGTTTTCTACATTTATATATTTGTTCTATTGTAAATTTTAGGGTTTATTTTGATAATGTACTTTTTCCTTGTGAAGTTTAGAAACGGCCAAGGGGGTCATGTGAGCCAAATTAAATCAATTCCTGGACAAAAACGACTTCCCTGACCACCTCAAGCTTCTTGCCAGTGTGTACCCCGGGACAAGAAAGGCTGGGAGAAGCTATGGACAAATTAAGATAAATCTGGCAACATCTTTAGAAAAGTAACCCAAAGCAAATCCCTCCTGATGGTCAACATCAGATGGTCACACAGAAAGGTTATTTTCCTGTAAGCAATCTTGCATTATTGTTCCATATAATTTGCACTTACAAATTCCACAAATATTAAGCAAGTACCTTTCTACTGGGAAGGAATGTAACAATTCCAACAAATAAACATAAAGGCAGTGTATACATAAGAATGCTTCTATACAATTTTTTGAGCACCAAAATCTTAGAAAGTTGAGAAATCCAATGAAATATGTCATTCTTATTCTAATTTCTTTTGTCTGTTCTTAAGAGAAGGAAAAGATGTAGCAGAAAGCAAGAAAATTGTTCAACAGAATTATTGCAACTGACATAGTTTCTTATAAAGAATGTATTGAAAGAGAAAACCTTGCCTTGGCAAAGTATATTACACAATAAAAAAGAAGAATTTCAAAGATAATAAAGATACTTTCTCACAGATATCTAACTGGAAAAAAAATTATCAACTTTCTAAACTTTTCTATCATAAGTTCACATATTTCTCTGGTTCATTTATAAAGGGAAAATAACTTTAGACTATTCTAAGCTGAATACATCAACATTCACATAGGTAACCAGAAACATGGGGTCTTAAGTCAATTACAGGCATAGCTGGGTTCCTTATCCAGATAAGACAGTTAAAAAAGACTGACTTTAAAAATTGTTAGAATATGCTTCCTCCCCACTTTGTCTCTGGAGGTTCTTTGTAAAAGCCAGGGTTTCACAATTAACTTTACAGCAATGAAAAAGCTTTAATCATTCACTAAAACGAATGCCATTTTCACTTATTAAGTTGGTAAATGATTAGAAAAAAACTGACAATATCATGCTGGGAGATTCAAAGCACGCTTTTGTGGGAGTGTAAATTGGTGCAACCACTTTGACTACATGCCTCAAAAACTTAAAAACATGCCCATCGGGCCTGGCACAGTGGCTCATGCCTGTAATCCCAGCACTTTGGGAGGCCAAGGTGGGTAGATCACAAGGTCAGGAATTCAAGACCAGCCTGGCCAACATGATGAAACCCGTCTCTACCAAAAATACAAAAATTAGCCTAGTGTTTGTAGTCTCAGCTACTCGGGAAGCTGAGGCAGGAGAATCACTTGAACTGGAGAGGTAGAGGTTGCAGTGAGCCAAGATCATGCCACGGCACTCTAGCCTGGGTGAGAAAGCAAGACTCCATCTCAAAAACAAAACAAAGCAAAACAAAACCATGCACATCTGACAACTTATTTAGCTATAGGGATGTTCTTCCCAGCTATGTGATGGAATACTATGCAGCCACTAAAATATTATTGCAGAATATAGGGTGGAGGCGGAGTTTAGCTAAAAAATTATGATTGCATTTAGGCAAGGAAAAATTATATGTACATAAAAAAGTAATGTGAATGGGGTAGAATTATGAATATTTTATTTTCTTATCTATATTTTAGATATTTTCTTTTATGCTGATTTTCTTTAGCCTTATCTACATATTCCAATATATCTATTGAATATGTATTGCTTTTACAAGAAAAAATAACTTCAATGATTATAAAAAGGAGGAAGGGTGAAGCAAGTGTTTTAAATACTGCAACTTGAGGCTGTGAAAGCTCTCAGAATCAAAATGAAGTCACCTATGTTAAAAATCCCAACAGCCAGAAGAGGCCTTGAAGAGAGGCTTGTCATGCACAAAAACTATCACAAAAGACTGCAAAACTCACAGCCTTGCACAAAATCCATCTCTACCTTACACAAAAAGTACCTCTACAAAGACATCTGCCCATCAACTGCCTGTCCAACCTCAAACTGGTACTACCCTTGTTATTGATCCTTGTAGTCAAGGATAATTATCCCCAAAACAATTATGTAACCCTCCTTGTTTTTCCTCTAAAAAACCCTTGTCTTCCTTTACCTTCCTGAATAGGCACATAGTGTATTATAGCACATGCATTTCCATTGCAATGCCTATTCCCAAATAAATATCATTTTCCTTTCAAAATGTTTGTTATTTAGGTTGACAAGGCCCGGCTGCCAGCTCCGTGATGGTTGCCATCTGTTGCTTTATTATAACAAACTGCATTTTACTCTAGCCAGGCTGGGTAGCTTTCTTTATCTTGCCATCTCTAACCCAACACTCTAACCCAAACTTTGTATTATCTGGCATCTGGAGATATTTTTTAGCCAAAGAAGATATATCCACACGTTGATTTGTGATATTTCAGCACCACCACCTGCATCACCAAAGACTTTAAAACATGTAGAAATAAATTCAAATCTGCAACATCTAGAATGGTTGAGACACACTGTATAAAGAACAGAAATTTATTTCTCACAGTCCTGGAGGCTGGGAAGTCCAAAATCAAGATGCTAGCATGTTTGGTGTCGGTGAGGGCTGCTCTGTCCTTCCAAGATGGCACTTTGATGCCGTACCCTGTAGAGGGGAGAAACACCATGTCCTCACATGGCAGGAAGCAGAAGGGCAAGAGGGCCAAATGCTGCTGTGCAAAGCCTCTTTTAAAAGGGGCTGAATCTCAATCACAAAGAAAGAATCCTAGTGACTGAATTACCTCTTAAAGCCTCCACTTCCTAATACTATCCCATAGGCCACTGAATTTCAATGCCTGGGCCTGGTGAGGTGGCTCATGCCTGTAATCTGAACACTTTGGGAGGCTGAGGTAGGTGGATTACCTGAGATCAGGAGTTCAAGACCAGCCTGGCCAACATGGTGAAACCCTGACTCTACTAAAAATACAAAAATTAGCCAGATGTGGTGGCATGCGCCTATAATCTCAGCTACTTGGGAGGCCCAGGCAGAAAAATCACTTGAAACTGGGAGGCGGAGGTTGCAGTGAGCCAAGATTGTGTCACTGCACTCTAGCCTGGGGAACAGAGCAAAACTCCATCTGGAAAAAAAAAATTTCAGTGCCTGGATTTTGGAGGTGACACATTCAAGCCATAGCACCATTTTATATTATTTGTATATTAGGGTTAAATAGGGCCACCTTATCATCTCAGACAAACCATTTCTAAGAAGGTAGAGGCTTGCATGTGAGGTCTGAGCCACAGGTATGACACTCCTCTGTCATGTGCAAATTGTTACTTCCTTATGATATGATCCCACAGGCCTGGAGAGCTGCATGCATTTGGCACACATGAAAGTTTCTGCCTCCTCCCTCAGCCCATTTGAGCTTCCAGTGCTCATTCTACCCTTTGCAGTCTCAAGATGCTTCTCCTGGGCAGAAAAATCAAAGGCAAAATATGAACAAGTATAAGTCAGAATTTTCAGAGTAACTTTCCAGATTGCTTTAAATGGCAGCATTTCCAATCCTAGTTTGTCTCATTTTCTATATTCAATAAAAGAACAAGAACAACAACAACACAAAAGAACACTACTGTGTATGAGCTTTGATGCCACCTCTGACCATTTTTACTTTCATATTGTTAATTTTGCCATTTGATTTTGCTTCCACTATATGCTATTAACTTCTTTTCAGATGTCACTCATTTAAAAACATGGAGGGATTTTCTATTGCTGTCCCAGTCAGGCAATTATCACTTACCCAAAGCCAGCCCTGCTCTCAGTTCAGCCTTGGCATGACGTCCTATTCAAAGAAATAAAAGTCCATTAGAAGATGAAAACCATTAAACTCTTTGCCTGTCTCTTAAGAAAATACCACAGGATGAGTAAACAAAGCTGAAAACAAGACAGAGAATAGAAGTTGGTACAGAGCTAGAATTTTAACGTGACACACCAATAGCAAGTGTCTTGAACACCAAGGGTATGGAGGGAAAGACCCATGTGGTCAGGACAGCAGGCCTGGAAGCTGACCTGGCTGGCAATAGTCAAAGTGACAAGATGAAGTTATAGCTGAGGGAGAAGGCTCAGGGGGCCTCAGGATGTGGCCATCCTAATGAAGAACAATCACATGTAGAGTGAAGGCAGTGCTCTAAGAGGGTGCACTGCCTTCTTCCTAGAACACTGTGTGAGGGATCCCAGCTACACAAGGTCAGGAGTCACATGAACACTGCTCAAAGGTGTGCCTTGCAAACCCAGCATCTGAGAATATGGACCTACAAAATACATTGATGAAGGAGTGGCCCATTTTACATAATGTACATTTACACAGTTAATGCACTTGACACATTTTCACACTTTTATTTCAAAAACATCTTGAATTACATGCAAACTTTCAGGAACTCATCACAAACAAGGTCCATTCATGGTGTAGTTGGAAATAACCACCATGTGATGATAGCATAAGCAAATTGAGTTTTCATTAGCGGAAACGGGAAGAAAACTGAAGAGAAAACATGCTTCCTTTATAAATCCTTCTTTATTTTATTGTCCCTACCCCCAACCAATTCCCAGGGCCAAGTAAAGAGCTGGGAGTAAAAAGTTACAGCACTGAAGATAGATTTGAGAGACATCTGGGTTCCTCAGCTGCTGAAACAGGACCCAGTTTTCTACAAAGGAGCATTTGCCTGCCAAAGGATTTTGGGAATACAAGTGTATGTTCATGCATGTGTATCCATGATGAACAAGTCCCTTTCTCAGGCTCAAGGCCCCTGGAGCAAACCCCTTCTCCATGGACCACCACGGTTACCACTGTGGAGGTTCTGGAAGCTTCAGGATGACCCGGGATCTTCCACCCAACCACCCCCCCAGCCAGGTAGTGCCCCAAGTAGAAGTAAGAACACCCTTTCTTCCATCCTTTGTTTCCCTAGAATTTCAGCAGCTTCTAGGGTTCATGTACTACAACTCTTTACATTTTTAATATCCACACACGTGCAGGTGTGGTAATGGATTAATTATCATGAGCAACTGGGGCTTCACCCCACCCAGAACATTCTAGGAGCTAGCACCAGGTCATCCAGCCACAAGAGTGGGGAGTTGGAGCATTTTTCCACAGACTGACTCTCTCCCATTGGGGAGAACTGCCCTGGGACCCCTGAGTCCACACATTTTGGGGGTGCTCCTGGGGAGAAGGGTGTGGCAAGCTCAGATGATGCCAGAAAAAGTCCTCAAGCAGAGAAGAGAGAGGCTGGCATCAGGGTGGAAAGGTGTCAGCATTCTAGAAGCCTTTGTTACAGGCGAACTCAGATGGGCAAGGTATCAAAAGCATCCGCCACAACTCTCTTGGGAGGTGCACAAAATCTCCTGAGTAAACATTCGAATTATTTCCTGGATATGGAAGCAAAGCAAAATATTTTATATAAAGATGATGATTCTTCACAAATGTATTCTTAAATGCAATGTCATTTCAATAAAAAAAATTCCAACCATAGGTATCATGGAATTTGACATGATTACAAAGTTAATCTGGAAAGAGAAATAAGAGTATCGCGCTGGGCACAGTGGCTCATGCCTGTAATCCCAGCACTTTGGGAGGCCGAGTCAGGTGGATCACTTGCAGTCAGGAGTTCGAGACCAGCCTGAGCAACATGGTGAAACTCAGTCTCTACTAAAAATGCAAAAATTAGCTGGGCATAGTGGTATATGCCTGTAATATATTTCATATATATATATATATATATATATACACACACACACACACACATACATACATCTGACATATATATCAGAAAATATTCTGAATCTAAGAGAAAGTAATGGACAAAATGAGTCCTACCAGGCACTGAAGTTTATTATTAAGCATTTACCCACCTCATGGGTCTATTAAAGCATGAGAGGAAAAGCCTCTCCCCACATGGCACCCCCTGCCCCCACCCTTGGTTGTATCAATTGGAATCACACTGATATGCCTTATGCATAATCTACATAAAAAGAAAACCTTTTTGGCACACTCCAAGGAAGGGGCTGAATGAAGGTAGCTGCTGATCGTTCACCGGTGTCGGGGACCAGAAAATTACAATTGCCTCAGGAACTGCCAGTAAAGACATAGGAAGGTTCAGGTTTCCAGAAAAATAAAATCAGAAGCCAAGTCCGGTGTGGGAACAAAGAAGATCAGAGAAAATCAGACAGTCCATAAAAGCTGCAATGCAGAGGACAGCCAGTGGAGGAGGGCCCATGTGCTGCACAGGTTCCAGGTGACACTGACATTGTCTTGGGTGGCTGAGACCCCTCACACTCAGCTAGACAGTTAGACATGGCTAGAAAGAGAAAAGGAAATTTTTTGTAGATACCAAAGGGAAAATAGGAAGAAGAGCAACATGAGTGGATGGGAGAGGAAGCCACATTCAGAATATAATTTAACTGATTTTCCTGGGCACAGCACTCAGGCTCTCCTCCCAAGGAATTTATAGTCTAGTTAAAGACCAACAGGGCTTTAAATAATTTTTTTTTTTTGAGATGGAATCTCGCTCTGTTGCTCAGGCTGGAGTGCAGTGGTGCAATCTTGGATCACTGCAACCTCTGCCTCCTGAGTTCAAGCAATTCTCCTGCCTCAGCCTCCCAAGTAACTGGGATTACAGCACTCTCCACCATGCGCAGCTAATTTTTGTATTTTTAGTAAAGTAGTAGAGATGGGGTTTCACCATGTTGGCCAGGCTGGTCTCAAACTCCTGACCTCAGGTGATCCACCTGCCTTGGCCTCCGAAAGTGCTGGGATTACAGATGTGTGCCACTGCGCCTGGCCAATAATAAATTTTTAAATAATAAAGCAGTTTAAAATGGAACTGGATAATACAAGCCAGTTGCTGCTGGAGCTAGAAGGAAGGCAGCTGACTTCTGATGGGAAGATATGGAAGGATTTCAGAGAAAAGGACACATCAGAACTAGAACTCCACAGAAGATAAGTAGGGTCAAGAAATTCAGGGCTGAGAGAATTACTTAAGTGGACCTTCAGCAAGGCAATTAAAGGAGGACAAGTGGTCCTGCAGGGCTTCCACCCAGGGAGATGCAAAGAGAAAGAGAGAGAGAGAGACATCATTAGAAACGTTTCACAGAGACCTTGACTGCAAACTTTAACTGCAGATATTGAAGTCTAGCCATATGCTTTTACAGGGTGAAGAGATATGAATCATTCTGTGCAGCAACAGTACAATAGTTTCTCCTTAATTTTAGGGAAAACGTTCCTCATGCCTAAGAGAAGACCACACAAACAGGTTGGCTGTTGTCTTCTTCTGTCTGAATTGCTATGCCATGTGATGTCTCAAACTGCTACAGCCCGCAATGCCAGCTTGGGTAGGGAATAGTAGAAAGAGGGAAGAAACAACGTCTGTGAGGACATGAATATACCATTGAATGTACCCCAACCCGAAGAGGACCCTCTAGTATTAGAGTTCAAAACAACCTCCCTAATGCCCACCCTCTCCTCCAGCTCCTGCCTACTACTCTGCTCCCTGCAGGGTAAAACTCAGGAAGTGTCGCCTCTACTCCCTCACCTTCTACTCCCCCTTCAATTTGCTTCTGCCCTCACCAGTCCATTGAAATGTCTCTCAAGTCCCCAGAAACCTCCATGTCACAAAATCCAGTGAGCACTCCCCTGTCTTCACACGACTTGGCCTCTCAATAGCTGGCTCTGCCTTCTCGAAACACCCTCTTCTTAGCTTACAGGACCCTCTGTCATTTCCCTCCTACTTCGCTGGCTGTCCCTTCTCAGTCTCTTCCTCCGGTTCAAATGTGGTCCTGGCCCAGCAGCATCAGCATCACCTAGGAACTTGTTAGCAATGCAGGTGCTTGGACCTGATCCCAGACCTGCTGAATCAAATCCTGGGGTGGGAGGGGTGAGGCAGCAATCTGTGTTTTATCTGGTCTTCCAGGTGATGCACACTAGAGATTGAGAACAACCCGTCTGAAACTGTTGGCATTCCTCATGATAAAGTCCTGATTCCTTTCTTTTCTCTGGCTACATTTCCTCCCACGATGACTTCATCTAAGCCCGTGACTGGAAATCGTCTATATGCTGACAACTTCTAAATGTGTATCTTCGGCACCCATCTGGGGATTACACAGCCATCTCAAATTTAACATGTCCAAATGGAAGGAAGGAACTCCAGATGTTCCCTCTAAAATCTGGTCGCCATCCATTTTTCACCATTTAAGAAAATAGCTCCACTATCCCCCCAATTGTTCATTAAAAAAACTGAAGTCATCCATGATTCCTCCTTTTCCCCAACTCCTTACCTCATTGGCAATAGTATATCTAGTGGGTCTATCTCTAAAGTGTCATCAATTTGTCCTCTACTACCACCATAGGCCCGGCCACAATTTCCTCTCCCCAGCCTACTGCAAAAGCCTCCACCCAGGTACTGCTAATGCCCACAAAACAACCAGAGTGGACTTTTAAGAAGGTAACTCAGGCTATGCATGGTGGCTCATGCTTGTGATCTCAGCACTTTGAGAGGCCAAGGTAAGTGGATTGCTTGAGCTCATGAGTTCAATACCAACCTGGACAACATCTCTAAAAAATATACAGAGTTAGCCAGGTGTCGTGGCTCACACCTGTGGTCCCAGCTACTCAAGAAGCTGAGGTAAGAGGATAGCTTAAGCCCAGGAGACAGAGGTTGTAGTGACCAAGATCACCCCACAGCACTCCAGTTTTGGCAACAGAGGGAGACTCTGTCTCAAAAAAAAAAAAAAAAAGGAAGAAGGAGGAGGAGAAGGAAGAAAATTGTGTGGCATCATTCCCCTTCAAGGGCTTTGACCTCCGAGGACAAACCCTATACCCCTCAGTCTGGAAAATGACTTTCACTATTTACAGTGGGATATGAGTAGTTGTCATGGGAGAGGCAATGGGAGTGAGTTTGGAATGAGGAATCATGCAGGGCCCTTTGCAATAGCCACTTCCTGTTGGTTACCCACCCTTGGAGTGGTTCATGAGGTCAATGAAAAAACTCCTCCAAGAATCCACAGGTAAGACCATCATTGTGGCAGATTTTTAAAATGGCAACAATGTCTTTGATACTCCTCCCATTGCGAAGTGGGCTCCGTGTCCTCTACCCTTGAATTTGGGAGCTATATGACTTTTTTTTTTTTTTGAGACATAGTCTCATGCCTGGAATTACAGGTGTGAGCCACTGCACCTGGCTGTCAACATTCTTAAACCTCTTTCCTTACATGCTTCCCAAACCTTCTTAAATGGTACCATCTCAGCTCACTCCAACCTCCACCTCCTGGGTTCAAGTGATTCTCCTGCCTCAACCTTCTTTGTAGCTGGGATTACAGGTGTGCACTACCATGCCTGGTTAATTTTTGTATTTTTAGTAGAGACAGGGTTTCACCATGTTGCCCAGGCTGGTCTTGAACTCCTGACCTCAGGTGATCCACCCACCTCAGCCTCCCAAAGTGCTGGGATTACAGGCACGAGCCACCACATCCAGCCAGGGAACTACATAACTATCAGGTCAAGAGCATACAGTGGAAACGATGCTACATGACTTCCGAGCCCAGGTGGGAAGTGGCATTGCAGCTTGTTTGCTGAAACTCTCACACTTGGAGTCCTGAACCACCATGGAAGAAGTCCCTCCAAGCTGAAACCACCATGCCATGAGGAAACCGGGCTACACAGTGAAGCCAGAGGTAGGCACCCCAGTTAGTACATCTGATCAAGTCCTCCCAGCCCAGGTATCACTCATGCAAGTGCATAGGCTTCGGATGACTGCAACTCCCAGCTACAAAGCACCTATAGACTTAGAGTCTTTTCAACTGACACCCCAATCATGGGGCAGAATTAAGTCCCCACTGTGTCTTTCCAGCTCCCTGGCTTAAACAATCCATTGGCATAATAAAATGGTAGTTGTTTTAAACCACCTAAGTTGTAGGGTATTTGCAGAATATCAGTAATAACCAGAATAGGGCATAAGAACCTAATTCCTCCCCTCCAAGAAATCCCAGGGTATTTGAGCCCCTTCCTGATGGGAGGAAAGCAGTCAACCAGAACATATGATTATTTTGAGGAAAAGAGGGGTTTTAGCATCTTGGAACCAAGCTTTACAGGGCCCCTTCTGTCAGCAGGAAGCCAGCCCCTTGCCTAGGCTGATCTAGTCACCCACTTCCAGCCCCACCCTGGCCCAGTCCTCCTTGCAGCCCCTGAGCCTCTAGGAGACTCAAAGAGATACTGTGTGGCCTGAGTTCATCTCCCAGTGAGCCGTCTGAGAAAAGGAGGTAAGGTTCTGAACGCGATGTCAACCTAAGCATTACATAAGACTGATAGGATGTAAAACAGCCTCACTGCCTAGTGCTCATTCCAATTGGCTGCAATCCAGTCCTCCCTGTTACACTGAGTCAGCTCCCTCCAAAGTCGATGCTTTCCAGGCCTCTCATTGCCCTTTCCCAGCAGATCTTTCAAGTGCTCACCCACACTCACATAAACATGGCCCAGGCACTGTTTTACAGCAGCTCTCCTCTGTGCATTCTCCTGGCTTCTCCAGTCACTTGTCCCCCTCACCCCCAACTTGAGTGATAATGATTGGTCCTGAGATGCAAATATGTTTACAATCAATGGAGCAGCAGTTTTTTTGTTTTTTTTTTTAAGAGAGAAAGAGAGTGAGACAGGGTCTTGCTCTGTAGCCCTATGACCCAGGCTGGAGTGCAGTGGCCGATTACAGCTAACTGTAGCCTCTACCTCCTGGGATCAAGCAAACCTCCCACCTCAGCCTCCCCAGCAGCTGGGACTACAGGCCTATGCCACCGCTCTCAGCTATTTTTTTTTTTTTTTTTTTTGGAGAGATAGGGTCTCACTGTGTTGCCCACTCTGGTCTCAAACTCCTGAGCTCAAGCGATCTTCCCGCCTTGGTCTCTCAAAGTGCTGGGATTTCAGGTGTGGGCCACTGCATCCAGTTGTCAACATTCTTAAATCTCTTTCCTTACATGCTTCCTAAACCTCTCACCCGAAACGAGGATACTAGATGTCCTATTTTCCCCAGGGCAGGCCTGGTTTATGCCCATTTCACTCTTAAAAGTCCCCAATTTGGGTAATAATTTATAAGATTCCCCCTCCAATTCCTGTCCTTCTATCACGTCATCCCTTGCCCTCCTTTGAAATGAGACAAACCTCTGCCAAAGTTGTCAGCAGGAATCCTGGGCAAGAACACACCACCTTGTTTCATAGAAGATATCTCAGGTAATCTCAGGAGAGCTTTTTAAACGGAGTTCATTTTTCTCATTTGTTAATATCACCACCTAAATCATCTTTTTTGCCTAAAGAAGGAGAAAGTGAATGAATGAACAGGTGATGGCCAGTGTCCTTTCTAGGCCTCAAAATTTAAGAGTTTATGTGAAAATACATAAATATTGATCTCAATCCAGGGTAAGCAACATTTTTGTTTTCCTCTTTAGAAATTTCTGGGGTGCCAAAGTTCCAGAAATTGCTTCCTCATTCCCCTTCATTTTCTCGAGTTCCCCATTATGTAACGGGGAGCTGGAGCTTTGGGCCGAATTTCCAATTAAAGATGATTTTTACAGTCAATGAGCCACGTCAGGGAGCGATGGCACCCGGAGGCGGTATCAACTGATGCAAGTGTTCAAGCGAATCTCAACTCGTTTTTTCCAGTGACTCATTCCCTGCCCTGCTTCGGAGCGCTGCACCCTTTAACATAAACCTCGGCCGGCTGCCCGCGGCGGGCACGGAGGGTGCGCCAGTCCGCGCGGCAATTGGTCCCCGCGCCGACCTCCGCCCGCGAGCGCCGCCGCCTCCCTTCCCCGCCCAGCGTCCCTCCCCCATTGGCCCCGCGCGTCGCCTGCCCTCAGCACCAGTCGCTGACAGCCGCTGCGCGGCGAGCTTCTCCTCGCCTAACGACCGAGACAGGTAAACACCGGGGGTGGTGGGGACGCGGGCGGGGGCAGAGGAGCCACTGAGGCCGAGTGAGGACCCCGGGCCTCGGGTCCCAGGTGCTAGGGCGCCGGACTGGACAGGGTCAGGACCCCCGTAAGGAGGGGCTGGGGACTGCCCCGAGGGCACGTGACCCGTCTCGGGCCTGCCCCAATGCGCTGGTCTCGGCTAAGGTGGGGCGGCTTGGCTTCGCTTTTCGGGTTAGGACCGCTCCCTTCACTCCGCGTGGGGGCTGGGGGAGCTGGCGGAGCCCCTGGAGGGAGGTCGGTGGCGCGCCGTGTGTCGCAGCGCCCCCTGCACCCCGCGTGGGTCCGTCCCAGCTGCCAGGGAACTCCAGGAGGGCCGCCAGCGGGCTCCGCGGGGCGCGGGGCGAGGAGGGGCCACTGGGGGCCGCGGGGCCCGGTCCCTGCGCGTTGGCCGCCCCTCGGAGGCCGGGGTCGGGACCCAGGACGCCGCTCGGCAAGGCCCGGCCCTTCCCCGATACCCAGAGGGTGCTTGTGGAGATGGGGAGGCGGGCCCCCGCCGGGGGAGTTATGGAGCGCCTCAGGGCCTCCCGCCGCAGCCGCCTCACTCCTCCGGGGTGGCGGCCCCGCCCTTCATCCTCGGGGCCGGAGCTTCTCTGAGGGAGGCCGCAGCCGAGCGGCAGTTGCCACAGCTTGTGGAAGGGGCCCACGCGGGCGGGCGGGGGCGGGGCCTCAGGCCTTGGTGGGGGCGGGGTCCCTGGACGCCCCGCCTTCTGTTCGCCACCGGCGGGGAGGGAGGAGCTGCGGGTCTGCCTCCGGGCCCCAGGTGCGACGGCGACCCCCACTTTGCCTGTCACACTCCTCCCCGTCCCCTGGAGGAAGAACACTGGCCATGGCGGGGCTCCAATGGACAACGAGTCTCAGATGACGACCCTTGTGTCACCGGGCTTCCCATCTGTGCGGCAGGCGCCTTCACGTTTCATTATTAAACAATGGGGAGAAATCCATGTTTATGGTCCTTTTTAAGGAATTTTTTGCCCTTCTCTTTGTAGTGGCTGTAGGAAACCAATTTTTTTTTTACCTCGTAATTCCACCACTGTCACATCCATCCTCGCCATCGCAAAACCACAGCTCCCTGTTTTTGTTTCCTAGCCTCCAGATTCTCACACGACACAGTGCAATTTCGCTGCTGTAATGATGAGGATCTTCATGACCACGTTATTTTCTTGTTCTTAGAGCATCACGGTTTAATTAGCAGTTCCCCATATGTAGAACATTTGAGATGTTTCCCGTTTCCTTACGAAAAACTCCTGGTAGAATAGGATTGAGGATTTTTACAAATATAGTTATCAGAAACATAGGAACAGGAAATTGGATAAATATGTTAAGCCTCTGGAAAAATCAACAACAATCTTAGATTTGTAGGAGAAAGAAAAAAATCACCAAAGGAAAGAACCAATTTTACTTACACAAACACTGAGAAGGTCTTACAGTGAAAAACAGCTAACCAGAAAGGGGAAAGGCAGGCAGAGAGGCAGGATGTCATTTGTATGTTATTTGTATCTAACACAAGTTTTCCATACTGAAAGAAAAATATTAAGATTATAATAGATAAATAAAGAAATGATGAGTCATTTACACAACAAAATGCAAATTAGAGCATGTTGGGGTTATCATTTTACATTTATTAAACTAACCAAAATGAGTAACAGTAACAGCAACCCTTGCTGGAAGGTTGCCCAAAACTTGTCATTTTCAAGTGTCCAGGAGGTGGCAGCTCTTTGGGGTCAGAAAGATGGTTCGGCAGTCAATTTTGTGACTTTGGACAGGCTACTTCATTTCCTGATCCTCCTTTTGTCCATTCATAGAATGGAGGAAATGATACCTACTTCCTGCATCTGTTACAAAGATTAACCAACTATGTCAAATTCACCCTTGATATGTATGCATTATTGGGGGCATTTCGAGCCTTTACAACCCTTTTGTAAAGCAATCTGGTGATGCATTAAGAAGTTGAAAGCTGTGACCCAGACACCCCACTCCTGAGGCTTCACCTGCAATGGAAGAACCAAACAAAAAAGCAGGCACATATTCCTAGCAGAATGATCTAAAATTAGAACCAGCTGGCCAACAGCCTAAATGTATAACAGCAGGGCAGTAGCTAAGAAATTTCTGACACATTAACTGAAATGAACATTATATAACCATCAGAACTCATGATTTTGGAGTCTGTGATATGTGGGGGGAAACTGGTAAGTAAAAAAGTGCATTACTAAACTGCACCTGCTTACTCTTACAAGAATGCATATGTGAAAAATCTTGAAGGAAAAGCACAGAAAGTGGACATTTTAATTGAAATTGTAGGTGATCTTAGTTTTCTTTTGGTGGATACATTATATTTTGTTCTCACTAAATAAGGACATTTAAAAAATAGTTCACAGGTTTTAAATTTTTTTTTTTTTTTTTTTTTTTTGAGACAGAGTCTCACTCTGTCGCCAGGCTGGTATGCAGTGGCATTTGAGCAGACTCACTCTGTCGCCAGGCTGGAGTGCAGTGGTGAGATCTCAACTCACCGTAACCCCCGTCTCTCGGATTTAAGGAATTCCCCTGCCTCAGTGTCCCAAGTAGCTGGGACTGTAGGCACGTGCCACCACACCCAGCTAATTTTGTATTTTTTAGTAGAGATGGGGTTTCTCCATGTTGGTCAGGTGTATATTGGGTTTTTTTTTTAAGAATCAGTTCTTAGATTCGTTTATCAATTCTAGTTTGTTGTTGTTTTTAAGGGCTCCTGAAACTTTTTCAAAACTGAACAATTTCAGCCATGTCTAAGCTTTCTGTCTTCTTGGAGGCACAAATCCAGTTTAGCTGAGCCACAACAGATTGTACATATCCTGCAGAACCTCTGTGGCCTCATGACAGTTGAAAGTCACCAACTGTCACAGAAAATGAGGGTCAGGAAAGGCTGTGATCACAGGCCCTTGATCCAGAGGCCACTTGGGTTCATCTGTGTAACTCACACCTCATTGCATCATCATTTCTTGTAAAATCACCTTGATTTTGCAGGCCACAGATTTTTAGAATTATGCTAAATTACATAAGGGAGAAGCCATTTTAAAAATAATGTAATTAAACAACAACAGTAACAACAGATATTTCTGCACCACATTGACACTGAACATGGCTCTCAACCAACTGGCCAAACCAAGGTGAAAGATTCTCTAAACTTTAGTTTTAACTTACCTTGTCCATTCTCCCTTTTCAGATCTTATTTCTTCTTCCAAGGCAACTATATCCACTGTGAACTGCTGCGTATTAAACATTCAAAACATGTCTGTATCTAACTCAGTGATGGCTACAGCATTATAAAATAACTCCTAAGTGAATAGTGTGTGCAGCAATTCTTACAGTGGGGAGAATTTTTTTTCTCTCTATGTGTTAACCAGTCCATTTTCTCCAACTATATTCTACTTAAACTGTTACAGTATTGTGTGATCACTTTAAGGGAGGTAACCCTTTAATGAAAAGCATTATAAATGTTAAAGATTAGACCCCTGAGGGCCTAGCACTAAATGAAGCCTGATCACGGGTGCCAGTTCCCTGAGAAGCTTTTATAGGTCGCAAATCCCATTGCTAAGAACTCTGCGGCTGGCTTGGGATGGGTTCCAGCAATGTTGTTTTTCAAAATCTCTTTCGGGCAATTTTGATCATCGACCAGGTTGGGGCCCTTTGCTCTATTCAGTTTGTGGCTTCTGTGTGCCAGTGAAAAACCCCTACCCCCAATTTTTGTGCAGCATTTTGTATAGTTTACATCAAGTTCTTTATGTTACAAAGATTAACATGTAAATGTTACAAAATCTTTACAAAGATTAACATGTAACAAGAGAATTTACTTAGCTCAGAAAAGACAAGGGAAGTTATGGGGTGAAGGTTGGGGGCTGTTTAACATTTGCCACTTCCCAACGTAACTAATTAAGCTTCAAGTTGTAATATGTTATATGGGCTGGAAGTCTTTGGTGTCTATATTTGGATCTCAGCTCCAACACCTTGGGCTGTTAAAACCTTGGGATAAGTTCTTACCAGCTCTGACTCTCATTCCCCATCTATAAATGGGAATAAGATGAATAACATATTGGAGTTATTCATGAGAGTAACTTATGGATCTTTTTGTACCCTCTCTCTGGTTCCATCGTTTTGCCTTTCTGCTCATGCACCAATGCCATGTGATCTTACTGTTAACTCTTAACACCTGGCAGGTCAAATACACCCTGGATTATATTCTCATTAAAAATTTTCTTCAGTCATTTGAGTTTTGAGTATCATTTTATTATGTCTTTTAATATCCCTTTTGAATTATTTTTCAAATTTATTTGTTTTTTAATTTGACAGATAAGATTATATG